CAAGTGCTGGAATTACAGGAGCTTCAATCACATATTTTGATTGATTGATTGATTGCAATGCTGGGGGGGTGGTCAAACCCAGAGCCTCATGCCTGCCAGGCAAGTGTTGTAGCACTTAGGCACACCCCCAGTTTTCCTTTTTTCCATATGAGGAAGTTGACACCTGAAGAAGTTATATAATTGCCTAAGGACTAAGTCGCACAGGTCATAAGTAACCCAACCAGTATTCACAATCATGTTTAATCTTTCTTCCTGCAAGCCCACATATCCCCATAACTGGAGTATAACCACTATACTGCTTCCCATTTTTCAAAGAATAAATACTATATACTTGACTGATGTGCTCTAAGAGTAAAGAAAAATTTCCCTAGTGCCTTCCACTTAATAAACATTGATTAAATCCATGTGTGTAAGGGAAAGAGACTATTGGTACCTGGTTCTCTATTGAATTTTTTATTTGAATCAGAGTAGGAAACAACATAATAGCAACAATGGAATATACATAGATATACATAGGGTATAATGAAACCCTAATTCTTATATTTATACTTGCAAAAATGATAATCCAGTTATTGATAGAAATGATGAGGACCTAGAGGTGCTGGAGATATTAGAGAAGAAGGGTCTTACTGGAAAATACTCTTCAGCAATTTATAAGTCTTCAGCCCATTTGGATTCATTTTATCTCTAGCCAGTGCACAGAGCGAAGTATTTCCTGGCTTCCTTTGTTGACAATTTCTCACTGATTCTAAGTAATTTCAGGTTTTTATTACCATTGCTAAGTCAAACATCTGTGGTTTCTGTTGTTTCCTTGAGGGACCAAGAGTAACATAGTAACATACTTATGCCTAGTTACAGTCCAGAAAAGCATTTGTTGTCCCATATAACAATCGATTAGACCCCTGTGGTTATGGGAACCTCTCCATGAAGTTTATTTAGCCCTTGGTATAGGAAAGAGCCATGACTTTGGAGTTGGCCTGGATTTGAGTTCTACTTTTTTAGTTGTGTGTAGTAAATAAATACTTTACTCCTTCTGAATTGTTTCCTATTCTGAAGGATAGGATCATAATAAATCACATAAGGTGATACAGAACCTGACACTATAAATGTTAGCACCTCCAGGGTACCCCCCCACAAATGTAATATGAACGTGTAATTAATTGTGTTTGTATAAGCTTGATAATAATTCTTTTTTCCCAGCTTCCCTTTAATAATTAAGCTTGTCATTTTCCTACATATGCCCACATGGGAATTAATTATATTTTAGTTATATGTCTACAGCTATTTCTTATTTTATGCATTCTTGAAAGTTATACAGCTGTCAGAATTCTGAAAGTTGAATCATGTGCTGTATGCACTCATTTAGAAGGACCCTTTTGTGAGTTTGGCTTTTCTTTTTTTTTTCTTTTCTTTCTTTTTTTTTTTCCCTTAATATTAGTTGTAGTTGGGCACAGTACCTTTGTTTTATTTATTTATTTTTTATGTGGTGCTAAGGATCGAACCCAGGGCCTTGCATGTGCTAGGTGAGCACTGTACTGCTGAGCTACAACCACAGCCCAAGAGTTTGGCTTTTCTTGAAGCAGAGCACACCATTGAAGACTTCCACATTTGCCATCCATATCTTTATTTCTGCTGAGTAGTTTGCTTGTTCTGAGCAGAATCCTGGTAATAGATGTTCACCCGAGAAATTCCTACATATTTTCCAGCTCCTGTCTAGTGTGGATGGCCACAGGAAGGCTAAGGTCTTATAAAATAGCCACCTTCTTAGTCTATTTCCTAAAGACCCTGCAGCAATATTGACTTTTGAGAAGCTGATTAGCAGACTAAATTTACCATCTCCAGGTCTTTGGTCTGACACACTTTCTTGGTTAATTCACATGACTTGGCTTACATGTGGACACCTGGGACAATCTGTCTTTGCCTCAAAGGATTAAGTAACACAATTTGAAACTGACTTATAACTATTTTTCCCCCTCATAAATTGGGCCCTGAGCATCTTTTGTAAATCAGGAATTTTCTTGAAAATTCTCATTAAACTCTGTCCCGAGTGTACTTTTGTATAAAAGCACATTCTTGTTTGTTCTTTCATAACAAATGCACTTGGTAGTTATAATAGCATTGATAGAAACATGATTGAACAGGAAAGCAGCCTGTTATAAAATAGGTCAATTTAATTTAATCCACATTCAAAGCATAAAAATAGCTTTATTAAACACAGTACAGCTCAAGGAAAATCTATTACATTTTAAAAAGTAAAATGATCTAGTTAAGCAGTAGTTCTAAAGGAATTCCATATATATGTACACACACACATAAATTTATGTGTGTGTGTACATATATATATGATGTGTTCATATAAGCAATTGCTAATGCCATTGACAAAGTCAACTCTCCAGAATAGGAAAAGACAGTTTCTGGTTTTTAGCTGTGACTCAACTATAGTGTGATCCTATGTAAGCCAGGGAGTTGTATTTTAAGAGAGGATTAACTATTACTTTATACTTTTGACATCTTTTGAGTTTTACTGGGGAGATGACAGAACTTAATACCACTTATTGATTTCTGTGTCAGACAGTACTGGAGACTTCCGTTTTCATAACACAAGCAACTCTGAAAGGTTTTCACCCCAGGACTGAGCAGGTTGAGTCTGGGTGAGGTTATGTAATTGACCAAGGTCAGAGAGCTGGCAGGTGGGGACACAAGCAGCAGTGTGCACCGGGCTCTTCTTGGGCTACAGGGCAGTGCTCTTGCCACTCCATCCACCTGGAGAGTACATCCTGGAAGCTGCACCATTTCTTTCAGACATTTAAGAAAGAAACAGTTGCTTGGCGCACAGTTTCTAGGATCTTAAAAACTTAACTGGAAATTTCTGTAACTTTTCATATTTGTAAACTGCCAATTGACTGTGGTACTTAAGTTTTGCTCTATACTCTTTTTTGAACTGGGAATTGAACCCAGGGATGCCTTACCACTGAACTGAGCCACTTCCTCAGACTTTTTTATTTTTTATTTTGAGACAGGGCCTCGAACTTGAGATCTACCTGCCTCCCAAATTTCTGGGAACGTAGTCATGTGCCACTGAGCCCTGGCTTGCTTGAACGTCTTGATACGAGTTATACAGAATAAAAGAAAATTGCTTAGCAATTTTAATCAATTTTGAGACATAGGTTAAAATTTAGCACTGATAACTACACCTTAGACTTAAGAATATTGGAGGCTTGAACGTTCAAAATGTTAAATGTAAACTGAGGTAAGGTCTTAATTTTCAAATAATAAGTTGTTGATAAATTAAAAGGGGCTATAATCTTTTATTTCCTTGGGTATTTTGTTGTTTTATTGTTATGGGGTTTTTGTTGTTTTGGTTTTGGTTTGAGACCAGCTGTCCCTGTGTTGTTCAGGTGGCCTGGAACTCCTGGGCTTAAGCAAAATCCTTCTGCCTCAGCCTCCTGAGTACTTGGGCTATAGGCACACACTATCGTGCCTTGCTTTTCCCCTATGATGTTTTACAGTAATGTTTCAAAAAAAAATTCTATATGATTTGTTTTGTTCCTCTTCAAACAGTGGAGGTCCATTGGTCATTGTAGCTTTTGAAGAGTCAATTCTGCAGGAGCATGTATTGCTCCAGCTTGTTCTTTTTATGGGCTAGTAGCCAAAATACATTTCTGCAATCAGATTTTATAGCTTGCTTGTTAGTTCCTGCTAATTATGTTTGTTTGTAATTATTTGTAGTGAAGTAAAGCTTTATTATCTGTGGCATGGTGAGAGCAAAGATTTTTCTAAATGTAAAAATAAAGTTGCATCAAGTAATTAGAAATTGTCCTTAAGTACAATGGCCATCAACATATATTTCACCCCTTTCTTACCAAAAGGTGGATTAAGTGTACACCGGTGTACCTTTGTTGGTTATCCTTTTTAAATTTGTTATAAAATCACTGAGGCATAAGATAAGGCATATTGTATATACAGTTAGTAGGGGCAGAGTTCTCTGATCTTTTGTTATTAAAACAGTGTCACATGACCTGTTAAGGAATTGCTTCTTCCAAAAAATGTGTTTATCTACTAACCAGTTTTATAAAGTCCTTTTGGGTACTAGAATGCATTACATTGCATGGTTAGATTGATTTGGAATAATTCCTTCTAGAAAGAATTTGTGCCAATTCTTTTTCCTCTCTGAGAGGAATGGTTGCAGAGTACAGGCTCTGTGCCTAATGTCAATTCCATAAGGCTCTTCTGTGTGTGTGTGTGTGTGTGTGTGTGTGTGTGTGTGTGTGTCCCCAAACTGGATCTGTCATGAGGAAGAGATGTATCTATAATTGAGCATTTTCTTTACTCAAGGGTTATTTGTCATTTCAGACAGCATGGACTTTTGAGAACAGCCTTGAGTTGGGGGAGGCAAAGTTATATAAACTGCATTCATAGTTAAATATTTGCTTCTAGGGAAAAGGTGAAAAATGCTTTGTACTTTTTCCTTTGGCTTTTTCCTCCAAAAGAGCTTGTCATGCAACAACAAGAAAAAGTGGCCAAAGGCAGAAAAAACCTCTTCTCTTTTCCATGTTGGTTTGTTTTTATTGTAAGACAAACCTTTCATGTTTTATTGTTATAAAGCTTAAACCTGGCCTAGAGGTGCCAGTCTTTAGTGGAAACAGCTGCACAGTTGGTGTCCCCTGGTCAGGTGGAACTTTCTTTGAAGCAACATGTTGCCTTTTAAAAGAGAATTGAGCATGTGAGAACTTGACTCTGTAAAACTCATCAGCATTCTGCCATTGTTTATCTCTTAAGTGACTGGCATAGCTAACTTTAAGTAAAACATTGCAATTAAAAACCATTTTATGAATGAAAAAATCTCTCTTTCCTGAAAAGAATACCATATTACTTTGTGTGTTAAAAATATAGAAACATAGCTGGGGGGAGATCACTCAAGAATCGAAATTCTGACAGCCCCATTTAATCGAGACCACAGAACATGTCCCCGATAACTCCTCCTTTTGGTTGGACTGAACTGTGATTTTGAGTTTTTATTTATATTTGCAGTTAGATGCCTTTGGTAGGAGCAAAACAGGGTGGTTGGGCACATATCTGGGTTCTAGAGATAAAAGATTTTCTCTTGGTCGATGTTGCAGTGTTTCTCATCTTTTTGATGGAGCGATACTGGTAGCAGAGGACTTAGCATCACTCTTGGTCTCTTGCTAGGAAAAGTTTAGCATCAGAGAGCTTTCTTTCCTTGGGGAAAAATAGAAGAGACAGGCATGGAGTCAAGAGGGACAAGAAAAATGCTGAAATATTTTCCTTTTGGGCTTTTGATTTCTTTGCCAAAAAAATTGCCTCCAGATGGGGAAGAGCAAAAGCTCTGATTGTAAGCCATTATGTTTTTACTGGCCTGCCTCCCCATCCCGTTGCCGGGTTTGGAATCTGTAAGCCAGTCCAAATCCTTTACCTCATTTTCTAGTACCAATTTACTGTCTTACTCATCTTCCAGCTGCAAGGGGTGAGGCAAGTTGCCTTGAAATTGAACCCTCTGCCATTTTATAAACCAAGCAATAGCAGAGTATCAATATCAGTGGCTCAGATTTCTCTGAAGTTCTTGAATCTCACCTATCAGGTAAATTTGCATCTGTGTCATATGCACACTAGGATCAGTCTGGAAATGAGTCTGAATAAGCCCTTTGGGCTTTGTGTAGACTTGTTACACAGGGTTGCCTAGCATTCTGAGCTGTTGCATGGGGAGCACAGTTCATGTTTTGACTGTTAAGTGTCACTGGATGCTCCAGTTTCCCTTGGGAGGTCGTAATTGTGGGGGTTGAGGTTGTGGAGGAATCTAGTGTCTGGACATAATGGGTCCAGTGGCACTGGAGTCTGGCAGACTCAAGCCCACAGCATTGCTCCAGAACTAATCAAGGGATGACTTGAAGACAAGTTACTTTCTGTACCTGGAAAATGGGGGAGAATGCCATATCAGCTTGTTTGACATAAACAAATTTTTTTGGAGGTGGGGCTATTGGGTACTCATGAGAAATGCTCAAGTATTAAGTTCCTTTCCCTGTCATTATGCCAACCTTGATTGTGGTCTAATTTTTCACCATTTTATTAAATGGAAATTAGGATGATAAGTGATTTTCATATATTGCATTTTAAAGTTGAGCACCAAAATAATATATAACACATGATCTACTGGATAGGGCAAAGTAATTATTTTTAATTAAAATTTTATATTTGTGTAGGCTATAATCATATGTATGTAGAGTCTTATTGCTTACCTATGGGAATATGTTCTGAGAAATACATCATTAGGCAATGTCCTCATTGTATGAACATCATATAGTGTAGTTACACAAACTTAGGTGGGACAGCCTTTGCACCTCAGATGTAGGTATTGTTCCTGGGCTATGAATGTGTACAGCCTGTTACTGTACTGACCATTCTGGGCAGTCATAAACAGTGGCAAGTGTCTGTGTATTTCCACATAGAAAAGGTAAGTAAAAAATCCTATAAAAGTTTAAAAATTGTATAATTATATAGAACACTACACTCACCAAGAATGGCATTGAACTTACTCTGGGTGAGCCAGTGAGTGGTGAGTGTGAAGGTCTCTAGGACGTTAATGCACATCATTGTAGACTTTACACACCTTATAAATAATAAGGCTACACTACATTTATTTAGAAAATTTTGTCTGGGCTCGGGGAACGGAAAAGCTCAGAGGCCCTTGGTTTGATCCCTAACATCACCACCTCCCCTACAAAAAAATCAGTAATAAAATAACCTTAGCTTATTTTAACTCTGACTCTTGTAATTACACTTACATTAAAACACAAATACTTTGTTTATGTTCCAAACATAGCTGTACAAAAAAAAAAAAATGTTTTCTTTAAGCTGGTTGTGATGGTGCACACCCAGCAACTCCAGAGGCTGAGGCAGGAGGATCCAAGTTTGAGACCACTCTAAGCAACTTAGCAAGACCCTGTCTATTAAAAAAAAAAAAAAAAGAATGGAGATGTAGCTCAGAAGCACACCTGATTTTAATCCACAGTACCTATATATCTTTGTTTTATAAGCTTTTTTCGGTTTTTAAAAATTTCTAGGCTTTTTTGTTACGAACTAAGACACAAACACACACATTAGCCTAGGCTTTCATGGTGTGAGGATCCATCAGTATTACCATTTTCCACCTCTACCTACCTTATTTCCCACTGGAAGGTCTTCAGGTGTCGTGAAACTTGGATCCTCTTCCTATGATGACAATGCCTTCTAGAATTCCCTCCCTGAGACTTCTCTCCATGAGGTATCATTCTTTTCAGAAATATGTTCATGGTGGTTTGTTTATATTTATTTATTTGTTTGTTTATTTTCACCGTCGATTTGCTTGTATATCGATAATGCACCATGAACAGTCCTCTCTGTTAATGAGACCCTGTCTTAAAAAAAAAAAAAGAAAGAAAGACTAGAAGTGTAGCTCAGTGATTAAGTGTCTCTGGGTTCAATCTCTTCTTCCTGCCCCCGCCCCCAGTGCATCAATCAGAGTGCAGAAGTGACCAGGGAAGCATCCTCTGGCACTGTTTATCTGGCTTCCTTATGCAAGATGGGCAGCAGTGCAGAGAGGGCTTAGAATAATCTCTTGGCTGGTTCCCCAGCCCCCTACCCTCATATCCTGTAACTTGTCTAGACAGAATGATGGAGAACAGAGTTTTTATTTCCTATCATGGGCGGGAAGATCAAAGGCATCTATAAAGCTTCTGACAGTAGGAAAGGTTAGAAATGAAAAAAATCAACTCTCTACCAAATTATGAAAAGATAACCTGCTTTATGATGTTCATACTTAAGAAACGTTAATGTTATCTTTGTCAAGTTATTATTATGCAATTTAACATATATATATTTTTTTCCCTTTTTTGTAGGTACTGGTATGGGATTAGGAATTGTTTTCTCACTTGCCTTCTTTAAAAGTAAGTTTGACTCATTTTTTCACACAGTATATATGTGCATAGCAGGGACACAAGTTTGGAGAAGGCACATCTAAATGGCTGTCGGTCCATCCATTTATGGGTTAGGTAGGCCATTGTAAAACAGCTCTCGACAAAGAATGTGGACTTGAAAGAGGTCAAAATGGGCTGGACAGCTCCTGCATTCCCTCTGGGCGTTGAGTCAGGTGCCTGTTATCTTAAAATATGATATCATTTCAAAAGCCTGTACCTTATGCCAGTGAGTCATTTAGCCAAGTCTTCATGCTCAAATATTTCTAATTAATTATAATTTTTTTCTAAAGGAACTTGAAAATGAGAGTCTTGCTGGTAATAAAAACGAGTGAACCAGAAATACACATGCTTCCTGGCCAAAAATTCTAAGTAAAGGCAGGCAGTATCTCTTTCATTCTTTGGAATAACTTCCAAAGTTTGGATCATAAACTGAAGCCAAAGGGGTCACTTTGACCTGTTTCCATGAAGAGCTGTCAGGGACTACATAACTAGAGAATCACGATTAACATACTCTGCTGATTTGAAATAATCATTTACAGATTGGTTTAAATAAACTCCATGATTTACTAAATCAAAGTATATAAATACTGGTGAAATTGCTACCTATTTAAAAAATTTGAAGCACCTTACTGAAAGGTATTATTACTTCTGACAAGGTTAAAATATCAAACTGAGCAGATGATTAGAACTGATACCAAAAAACTCTATTTTCATATTGTACTACTTAAATTTTCCTGAAAGCTAGCAGCATAGATGCTTATAAATATTTGCTACATTAATATTTATGTATTAACCCTTTTGTGGTGGCATGGACAAAACATCCACAGCATTGTAGTATCTTGATATGGTGCCCACTGAGGATTTATTGAACCCTTAGCAGATGTATTAAAGGGGTGGGAAACTTTATCCTCTCTAAATGATTCTTTATTGAGATTTTCCTTTTTTTTGCTCAATAGGAAAAATGTGGCCATTGGCCTTTGGTTCGGGCATGGGATTGGGGATGGCCTACTCCAACTGCCAGCATGATTTCCAGGCTCCATATCTTCTACATGGAAAATATGTCAAAGTATGTATGCAATTGATGTTTTTTTTTTTTTTTTCAGAAGAAAAAAGTTTCTTCTGAGGTTGTACTTTAGTGCCAATTGGCCTTTAGTGATGTTGACACTATTTGGTGCTAAGAGGGTCTCCCCTGGGTCTTTAGTTGCATGTGTGCATTCAGATGTGCACTTCCAGGGTGGATGGCTGGGACTGAAGTCATTATCAATGAGGAAGCATTAGCTAGCTGTAAGTAGCACTTTTCCTTTAAGATCTCAGAGCCCTGTAAGCACCTCACTCAAACTAAACCTGAAGACTCTGGCTCTCGGCCATGATTCTGCGTTTTTATTGGAGAAGATAGTCTTGACTAAATTTCCTGTGGTTCTGTCAAAGGTCTTGTCTATAGGTGGAGTTTTCTTTTTACTTTTTGCTGTGCTTGGATTGAAACCAAGGCCTCACGTATGATAGGCAAGCGCTCTACTACAGAGCTACATCCCTGGCCCTTTTAAAAATTTTGTTTTGATATGGGGTCTCGCCAAATTGCCCAGGCTGACCTCAGACTTGCAATCCCCTTGCCTCTAGCTGGGATCACAGGTGTAAGGCAGCACACCTGGACACAACTGGAAAAAGGAAAGAGTTTAGCCTGCCTCCTGAAGTTTGGGTGGCAGCCTTTCCCTTTGCCTTGCTTTAGATGGTTGGTTCCTGTGGGGCTTTAAGTGACAAGGTCAGGGGAGGCTGGGTGTTCACGGTTAGAGATATTATTTTTATGTCTCCAGGGCCTGGAACAAAGAGTAGGCACTGAAGTAAACGTAGAGCAGATGAGTGAAGTGAATCATGTCTTCCACTAGCTGTAGGTGGTAAAGGCGGGGCTCGCTGAAGCACAGCCTTTACAGCAACCCAGCCTCTGGTGAAGAGCTGCACAGTCCCTACATGTCTCGGATTCCCCGCTCTCCAGCTTTCCTTTGAGCTGGAACCTTCACTGCGATGGGGCAGCAGCAGATCAGGAGACCTGTGTGCAGGCCGGTCCCTTGCTTCTTACGGGAATCTCAAGTTGTTTCACTTTCAAGCTTCCATTTTCCATCAGTAAAATGAGGAAGAATTTCTCCCTATGGGGGATTTTTGTTGTTGTTTTGTGGGGTGGATCCTGGGGGTTGAACCCAGGACCTCACACATGCTAAGCACATGCTCTGTCACTGAACTACAGCCCCCAACCTCCATAGGGTTGTGGTGAGGGTTAAAAGTGAAAATGTTTTTAAGCTGTGAGGTGCTATATAAATAGAAACATCAGTTATAGTTGAGGCCAACCAAGAAAGGGTGATTGACTTGTCCATTGTTCCACCATAATAACAAGTAGAGCGGAAAATGTGGCACAAATGCGTGTCCTAATTTGGTCAAGAGCTGAAGCTACAGGGTCATGAAATCTCAAATAACAGTATTTTACCACAGCTCCGCAGCCTCCTCTTTAGGAGCTGCTCGCACTCTGTCAGCTGCCCACCAGCTAACCCGGGCGCTGCAGAGAGTGGGGGCAGGGGGAGTTGATATTAATGAACCACCTCTGAGCCAAAGCCAGCGGGAGGACAGCAGAGGGGGACAAGGAGAGACACAGCTGGATGGCAGCAGGCTGAGGACAGGCCTTTCCACTGCTCCCTGACTCCACTTTCCTGGCAGCGAGCTGAGTCTGGGGTGGGGGAGAACAGAAAGAACAGGCAGAGAGCAGGTCTTTTTTTCTTGTTCAAAATGTTTCCATTGTTCCAAACTGGGTTGTCATGGATAATAGCTCAGAGGTGATTATATGGGTATTATATGTTTCATAGCTGGGAGTTACAGTGGAAAATGTTGTTACATATTTTTTACAGCCTAGTGTATATTGTTCCAAAATGGCCTTGTAACTTCATCTGAACTTGAGTCTATGCCTCGATGTTGTCATCCTCTACTTGCTCTGAAAAGAGGAAAGGCTCATTCTGGGTAGTCATACCATGCTCACTGCTTGTCAAATGACAGCTACGGCCCTGTGGGCCATCTCAGTGGCTTTATCTTCATGTGCTTTCTCTCTAGACCTCCCAGTTGGTCCTGAGAGAGGTGTTATTATCCTCAGTCAGCAGATGAGAAAATGGAATCTTACTGGGGTGAAGATCATATAATTAGTAGGCTGTTTCAAGTGATGTCCTTTGCACTCACCTATGACCCCTTAGATGGTTTTAGGAACATAGTTTGCCAGGACCTGTTCCATTTCTTGCCCATTCTTTTTCCTCTTAATATTGGGGGAACCGTTCTTAGGAACCTGAGAGGGATATTTACCATCTTCTGGTGAGAGTTTAAAGCAACAGTGTAGGGAGGTTCTGTCCCTTGGGTCTGGCCTGAAGCAGCGATTCAGGTCATCCAGCTGCTGCCTGCATTGTTCTGACCTGAGTATCCTTGCTTCACAGGAGCAGGAGCAGTGACGCACACTGAGAACATCCCAGTGGGAGGACAAGAGAAATCATGTTTATTCCTCAGGAATACTGAAGTGCCCTGGAGTAAGCTGACATTTCTTCTGGAACAATGTTATCAGTAATGCTTTAAACTCCAGCACACTGTTTATGTATTTGAAACCAAGTCTGTTTCTTGTTTTGTATTTTCTCTCTGGAAAATGTAAGGAGGTGATCTTAAATAAATCTAAACAAAAATGGGAAGCTGTGTGCATGGCCTTCGTTTCTTGGCCTTTGGTCTTTGAGCATCAGGCTCTGTTTGAAGCACCTGCTGGAGCCTCTGAGCACCCCTGATGCTGTAGCTGGCATGTGTTCCTTTCCACTTGCCTTCTCATGTGTGGTTACCAGAATCGCTTCCACCTCAAAAATCTGAGGCTGGAGGGCTGCTGCATGGTCCTGTGAAGGCAACTGGTGTCTCGAGCACTTCCTCGCTGGAGCAGCTCTTTGGGCGTTTATCTTCTCACAGCATACCTAGAGGGCACGTCCCTGCCCTGCTGAGGGCCAACAGCTGCTGCATTAGCAGGACATGAACCTGATAGTAGATGGCTCACACCATTGATGTCAAATCCTGCAGTTTCACGGAGCTGGAGCTGGTGCAGTCCGGGCTTTGCCCCCCTCCCCCCAGGGAGTGGCTTTCTTCTGATGGTAGAGAGAGCTCCATGCGCACCCACCTGGCTGAAAGGCCACTTTTGGGGTGGGTGTTGTCTTCTCATAGCACTGAGGCTTAAGGACAAAGGACCACTTCTGATACCCTCTGTGAGTTTGTTCCTGTGGTTTCACTTGAACCAGGTAGGCCGGACG